ACAAACATCCAACAAGTGCTGTCATTTAGAAGATACCCTAACCCCGTCATTCAGCAATTACATTTTCACCCTGATCAAAGTCAATCAGACACTTGCCCATTTCCCAAGCTTCCAATAAAACTAGATGCGCTGATTGTTATTTTACCACCTAGAGCCCAACACATAACAGGTGCCTCTGTAACAAGATAATCAGAGTTATTGATTTAACTATCAGGGGTTTCAGTGTTGTGGTTGACTGCTGTGTATCCAAAGAGGAATTAACTGAATAAAACTGATTTATGTAACAAGTTTTTACCATCAATGTGTTGCTGTACATCACAGGACATAGTATAGAATAGAATAGAATAGAATAGAATAGATGTGTATTGTTATTGTTATTATTATCCACACCAATTGTGCAGGAATAAAATATAAATAGTAAGACAGCAGCAATAAATAATAAACAGGAAAATATATGCAATCAGAGGGATATATACAAACTAGATGTGGGGTGTGAGGGCATGGATCCATCTGCTTCTAATTTTGGTTAAGATGGGCTGTTAAGGAGAACTAAAGAGTGAGAGGGGGAATGAAGGGAAGAAATAAAAAGAATATGTTGGATGAAGAGCAAGGACAAGGGAAGCCTGACAGGGGGCAGCTGGAGATGCAAAAATAGTAAAATTGGTGTGTCCATTCAAACAAACAAACAAAAAAACTGAAAATAATGAAGTGATAATGAAGTGGATCGCCATGAGGAAGCAGCCTTTGGACATTCTGCTTCAACTGATCAAAACGAGGCTCCTTATTTACGTCTTTCACTGCTGTGGTTCTTCTCAGAGCTGTTAGTGTAAATCATGTCTAGTTGCTCAGTGAAGCTCAACCCTGCAGCCAAAGATATAATGGCCTCATTAACACTCTCATTAAACAACACCAGTGGAATAAAGACATGGACGACTGCCACCTTCGCCAAAGGACACATCCTAGTTTGCACGCTACGGGGACACCAGCGCCTCTGTGAAGCATCCTTTAAAAACAAGCTCCATCTATCATGTATTCACATAGAGCATTCCCAATGTTTACTGGAGAAATGCTTTGTGAGGGAGAAGGAAAATCTGTGCCCATCGTATTCCGGGAACGAGTCCGGGCATTTCATACGCCATCAACACTCCACTAACTGAAAAGTCCAATCGCAGATATTTGAAGAGGCAACAAAGGGGATTTATAGAGTTGTTGCTCCCTGCATCGATGCTAACGCTCAGAAGATAAAACCCTGTGGGCCAAACAGAGTCCTGCACAAACAAAACAGGAAAACTGATCTGTAGTGCAAGGTTTCTGTAATCTTCAAAGCAGACATGGAGCAACAAGTAATTCATATGGCAATACATCACGATGGATCCTCTAGCAATGCATTATCTGCAATACTGCCGTCCTTAATGTATGGCAGTGATTTAAAATGAAGCTTCTGCTCTTTGTTAGTCTGTGACTGTTTGACATTATTGAAATATGAGCTTATTGGCCAAACTTTGATGGAGGAGTGAAGGGAGTGACTTTAACTTTAGCTGAGGCAACTAAACGTATTACTCGATAATTAGTGTGTTTCTGGTGATATTATAAATATGGGATTTGGAAAGAAAACCAATCAGTATATGCAATAAATAGCTCTGTCAAACAGGTAATACTGGGCACTGTTTTACCTTGTTTTCAGCTGTTAGTGTGTTTTACAGCTAACACAAGGTTTTTTTGAATATATATTATAAGATATTTCTTATTTATCGGAAACATGAAAACTGTTTGTATTTGTGTAGTTATGCTGAGGTTATATTGACCAGAAGCTTTTTAGATTTTAGAGTAACCATGGTATCTAAGGCGATAAACGATCCACACAAATGATTCTGTATTTCAGACCCTTCCACCGTCTCCACTGTCTGATGTTGCTGAGTGTAACACAGCAGGTCTGGTTGTGACATGAAAAATCCTTCCTCCACTTCCCGCTCTAGCAGAGCTGTACTTCATAAATCTGCTCATTAAGAATTTAAAGATTAACCCATAAAGAACGATTGAGCTGTAAAAACTGAAATTACGATACAATGAGAGATTATTGTGCTGGAAAAGTGATATTTTGCATCGATCATCCAGAATGAATGATCGCCGTCCTCTGCATTGCTAAAGACGTCTTCCAGCTGACCAATCTGATGCGAGAACTTAGAGAAATCTACTTTCTAATGAGCAAAATAAAGTGGTTCACGTTTCCTGCACTGCTGTTAGCTTACATAGCACCCATCCGTCTCCAGGTTTTATAGAAGATGCCGACACATCAGTCAATGACGGCTCGTCCTATTCATTCATTACCAATGTCACTACCACACGGAGATCGATACTGCAGCTGCTCCTCTGCTCTTGGGGGATTTCTTCTGTTTAATATTAATGCAAACTGATCTTTTCTTTATTTTTGGTAAATGATTGAAATTTAAAAACCATCGTGCATCAACATAAACGGAAATCACATTTGCAAATGAGCATGGCGGTTTGCCAGCTGCTGCCAGAGTCAGTCAATGACCGAGTAACTCGACTGACAGCTTGAATCCCGAAGTCGGCAGATGTGACAGATGGCGGGCTATAACGTGACATTTCACGGGCTTTTCATTTCAGGCCTAAAGGAGACACCTTCTGAGGAAACCAGTGTAACTTACAGCTTCTTCTGCAGAGAGACAGAGCCAGAATAAACATGAAGCCACTGAATATATGAGATAGCATCTATAGATATTTACATTCTGTCTCTTTGTGAAAAACATTTTGATTTTGATCAATTTTTTGCTGATATTTTGTAGTGGTGGAGTATAAATCTTACCGACTCTGAAAATCACCAAAAATATTTCCTGCAGTGCCACCAACATGTCAGAAACTGACCTTGCCCAGTGTTTAACCCTTTAAGACCTACCATAGAACCAAGTCCGCCAGAGCTTATATTATATTTTTACATG